ATATAAAACACAATACTAACAGTTAATTTTAAAATCCAAAGTGCTGCACATTTTGTAGTTGTTGTTGTTTCAACTCAATACAAAAGCGCCAGTTGATAGGAATGAGCAGGGTGAAAAAGAAAAAAAAGGAGTGATTCAACAGTGAAAGAGAGAAAAAAGTAACTCTGTACGGACGTAGCTGACAATTACGTCCAGTCTGCAGCAGACTAAAGCTTGAATTACACGTTCAGTTAACAATTTTGCAGTCACACAGCCAGCAGTACAAAACAGCCCATCTGGTCACCCAGACAGGAGAGCGACTGCAACAGACTTCTCGGGCCTGGCGCCAGGTGACTGAAACGGATCATTTTCACCGGCGCATTATTGCTGTTAACAAAGACGGCTGGAAGAATGTGACTGGGTCACTGAGGTGGATAGCCGGTCTAGGCCTAGTGAACTGTGCTTTAGCTCGAAAAGTTGTCAAAAAATCTGTTGCTGACCAGGTAGATGCTTCAGAGGGTAAAAGATCGCCTGGAAGGGTCAGTGGCTCGCCGTAGACCAGTTCTGTTGATGAATATCCCAGGTCATCCTTGGGAGCGGTTCGTAGCCCAAGGAAGTTCTTCCATCCAGTTGTTTCCAGTGAGTCTGGCCTTCAATGCCGTTTTAAGTGAGCGATGGAACCGTTCGATCATTCCATTTGCTTGGGGGTGAAAAGCCGCTGTTCTATGTAAGCGGACTCCAAGGCGTTGAGCTATATCAGTCCAAATTGCAGAAGTGAATTGAGATCCTCGGTCCGATGATATATCGGCAGGAACACCAAAACGGGAGATCCAGCCTCCTATGAGAGCGCAATTATTATTCCTATTATTGCGCAAAGTGACTGCAAAGTGTTCAAACTGACCAGTTGTCCATCCTGCTTGAGATCAGAAAACCACACACGACACAATCTCAACAAAAATACTTCTTTTTTTGTGATCTCTTTAAAATCCAGCAGCAAAAAGTGTCATCCGGGAGTCATTTTGTTGATTTTGATGCAATGATTCCAAATCTAATATCATTTTTAACGTTAAGACGTAGTTTTCAATATGTTTACAAGCGAAAATTTTATCACCAGCGGGCGGCAGACGTGACTGACTGTACGACCAATCGACCACAACAAAAACCAGGAGTGATTCAACAGCATAGCTTGACTTTTGTGTGTCCGCCCTCGGGACTGTTTGCAGTCCGCTGTTCATAAAATTCTCGTTTGTAAATTTTTTTGAAAAACTATGTATGTTATGTGTTTAGTTTTATAAAAAGTTTTAGTAGAGGTTTTACGACGCTCGCAACTGCATAAGGTCATATGAGCGCCAGAAGATTAGAGGTGTTACAAGAGAGTAACAAACATCAAAAAGAAGAAGTATGTTATGTGTAGTCAACCCTTCTATATGGCTGTGAATGCTGGACAATCACTTAAGTCAAAGACAGTGAAAATAAAATAGAAGCAACAGAAATGTGGTTTCTTAGGACACTGCTAAGAGTATCGTGGAAGGAAAAGAAATCAAATGAGGTAGTGCTTGATGAAGCCCACGTGGGACGCTCAAAGTTAAAAACAATCTGGAAACGACAAATGCAGTTTTCGGAACATCTGAACAGACATATGGGTCTTGAACATCTAGCTCTCACTGGCAAAATTGAAGGCAAAGGAGGCAGGGGTAGGCCCAGAGCAACCTACTTAGGGAACCTAAACAAATGGGTAACAGGGAAAGATCAGGGAAACGTAGCTTTTTTAAAGGGCATCTGAGCAAAGGAATAAATGGAGAACCATGATCAACGATGTCTGCCGCAGATCTGGCACTGGACGATGATGATGGTCTACAATCTTAACTCTTTAAACCCCGTCGGACGTCCGGCGGTAATAACCCTGTTCCTCATCGGATGCTGGGAGCATATGACACCAGTGACAACCGGTTTGTTTCATTTAGTTCTTGTTTTTGCTTGTTCTTCGGAACTATTCCCGAACCAAGTTTATTAGTAATGAGTAAGCCTTTGTTTCTGAGATTTAGTTAGAGGCAAGCTTTTCGGGTTATAATGAGACATGATAGTGCGCCAGGATTATGTGACTGTAGCAAAAAACTCTGGGAAATGGTGGAAATAACTCAGGGTCTAAAGAGTTAAAAAAAACCCACAGGCAGTATGAAGTACACACTGTCCTGAGGAGACGTCATGTCCGGAAACAAAACTCAGCGGGACTTTCCGAAGCCAAAATGCTCTGCAGTAGAGCTAGGTCGCGAGCGTGAGAATGGAACTGAATTGCCACTCTTCCCTGCAGAACACGCTTCACTTCAGTGGAACAGTATCGACTTCCGATTCCCGATTCACTCCCCTGTCGCTGTCACCACCTTGCGGCTAGTTTGTAACCTGCTGCTGGGTCGTGAGCCGAGTCGCGAGCGCAAGAACGGAACGGAACACTTAGTATGGCTCCCCTTATTTTACAAAAGATGGCACAGTCCAATCCCCCTATTAAAACAAAACGAACTGGTTCCAACCAAAGGACACAAGGAATTTTATGGTCCCATTGTTTTAGTGAATCAAGGGGGGAGGGGGGTGAATTTATGGGGGTCGCTACTTGAGGTCAGTATAGCAGCACAACGAAGGGTGGGGGGGGGGGGCGGAGAGGATGGCGGGACAACAAGAGTGGGACTCGCGAAGTGGCGCTGATATGACACTGTTCCGTTTCATGCATACAACGAGTCGCTTAGAGTTCCACGAGTGCTCGCGTACTTACGATTCTTTGAAGCAGACTGAATCGCAAATCGCCACTCTCAGATTTGGCGAGCAGGATCCAGCTCTACTCAGCAGTGAGTGAGGAGGGAGTGCATTCACTGAAGAGCGTACCGTGACATAATACAGAAAGGCCTAACTTATAGTCTTCTTTTTCAGTTTCAGTAAGTGTTTTACGGCACTTGCAACACAATAAGGTCATATAAGGGCCAAAGATTAGAGGAGTTACAAGAGAGTAACAAACACAAAAAAGAAGGAGGGGAGATAAGGAAGACACGAGTTTGATAGGAAAGAAGGAGCACCCCCACAGAGCACCCACCAACCACCCACTTTCAGTCGTCGTTTTAACTAATTTTGGAAGACTTTCACGACAGGAAAGACAAACCTCTGAAGACCGTTGCGAGAAAACTTACGCCTTCACTCGACCGACCACATCCTTCTTTTCCCACCACAACTGGCCTGGAGCATAGAGACCCCGGTCGTCCTCTCCGTTATGGTCTCCCTTTGTCAAGAATTTAATGTTTCCATCCATCCTGCAATCAAAATGGAAAAAAGATTGTCAATTCGAGATCACCATATGAGAGGCATTGTGGTGAAATCAGGCGCTTGTCAAAAATAGGAAATCAAAGAAATTAGCATATTTCGGCCTATGGGCATATTTTTCCAATTTTCTTTTCTTGGCTCAAGACACCTTTTTTTAATGTCCATCCAAAAACACATTTTTGTGTGAATTTTACTGAAAAACATTGATTGAAGGCACAAAAAATGTAAATTTTCAGTTTCTTAAAACTCTCAGGCTATGGAAGTTTTAGTTACCAAACTTTGGTGGCCATTTTCTTGCTAATCTTACCTCTGAAACCAGGCGACCCTGACCTTCAATTGCAAATATTTCGACTTCTCTTCAAGGCAGATTATATTTTTTTCACCAAAAGGAAGGCGAATGAACAGGCTTTAAGATGATGCCAATAACCCCATATGCCCAAAAATAGACAAGCGCCTGATTCCACCATGTCTTGACACATTACTTTGAGAAAATTTTTTTTTATAGAAGCAAGGATAGATCACTAAATTGCTGTATTTACTCAATGATTTGAAACCCCCTCCCCCCCCTCCCAATCACTTCATATAAAAGATACTGTTTCAATAGAGGCCCAATTGCTGGACTGCTTTGACCTGCATGTGTCAGGCCAGGGAGAGAAATGACTAGAGACACTAGACATGCTATCACTCTCACACAGATCAAGGTTGTAGTACAACTGCAAAGCAGCTGCATTTAACGGTTCTGCATGGGTTGTTGTTGTTGTTACTGTTAGCGATCCAGCAGCATCTGAACGTTAACTCTACTGCATGATGCCATTCTGTAATAGCTGCATGTTTGTTCTAATTATTGTCTTGAGGAGTAGAGGCATTTAGATGTGTGGGGTAGCTTGGGAAGAAAATATCCCCTCAAATCAGTTAGTTTTCTATAGAAGAACATATGATGTTCCACTGTCTCTGAGGGGTAGTCACATAGTGGGCAGGCAGCAGACTGCTTTACTTCAATTCGGTGGAGATGTCGATTGAGGGGTACATGTTGTGTTCTGCATGGGTGAAATGATGCACATATATGGAAGTTCTGTGTCAGGTGGACCAGTGTTTGTCATCTGATCCCTCAAAGGGCCCAAAATCCACCCATTAAAAAGCTGACGTCCGTGTCGCCAAGTTGTTTCCTTTTAATATGTGTCACGACATGGTGGAATCAGGCACTCGTCAAAATAAGGAAATCGAAGAAACTGGCATTTTTCTGCCTGTTTGGCAATTATTCTCGAATTTTTGTTTTTTTTGTCTTAACACATTGTTGTCCAATTAAAAACACATTTCAGGGAGCGTTTTACCAAAAAACGTTGATTAAAGGCACAAAAAATGTTAGTTTTCATTTTGCACAGACTATCAAGCTATGGAAATAACCAAACTTTGGCGAACATTTTCTCGTTAATTTTATCTTAAAAACCAGGCGTCCCCACCTTCTTCAATCTCAAATATCTTGACATCTGTTCAAGATAGATGACCATTTTTCCCCCCATAGCTAGACAAATGAACAAGCTTTAAGATCATACAAATAACTCCACACGCCCAAGATTGACGAGCGTCTGATTCCACTGCATTGCAACACATATATTGCCACTAACATCATGGAAACTTTGACAATAGATGAAATTGGCTCACATCTCAACCTGGAAAATATTGACAGCTCGAGAATAGCATCCACTTAGGTAGTTAGCACATTATAACAAAGAGAAGATGGAGATGGATGGGGCATTTTCTGAGAAGAGAACCAGACTCTATTGTGAAGACTGCTCTCCACTGGACACCCGAAGGAAATCGCAAGAGGGGCAGACCCAAAGTGACCTGGAGATGCACAGTGGAGTCTGAAATGAAATCCTGGAACCATTCGAGGGGGGACGTTGACCAAGATGGCCCAAAACAAACAGAGCTGGAGATCCTTTGTTGCTGCCCTAAACGCCAGATGACGTAATGGGTAGTAAGTAAGTAAGTAAGTAAGAAGGTAGTTAGCAAGACAAAGTCAATTGGCCTGTTTCTTGGATGCACGAGTTCTGTTACTTCAAAGATGTGTGTAATACAATGATGGACCATGCCTTACTTCTCATGAACCCTCAGCACCCTATGCACAATAGGGATGTCTCTGCCCTCAACTTTGAAGACAACGATCTCCCCAACTCTGATGGGCTCCTCTTTGTAGTTGGTTATCAACAGGAGGTCTCCTCTATGGAAGGCTGGCGCCATGCTACCACTGAAACCAGACAGGTGGGAAAATCATTCATTAAAAGTAATTAAAGACATTAAGTGAAGAGGGGAGTTAACTTTGTCGGCAACTCAACACTTTAAACCAAACATAATTCGACAGAGAATGTAACCTTTTCAGTTGTCTTGGATTGCACTTGATGGGTAATAACAAGATTTAAAGATTTATAGTTTCTACTGCTTCTTCTTGGCTCCTTTTTACTGCTGTCTTTCAACCAAACCCCTGATCTTAGTGTGGTTAACATCCAACGCCTAGCCTTCTTGGGTAAGGGCGAAAAAATCTTGGAGGACCTGTGTGCAAGTTGTGCACATTAAAGATCCCTTGGTGGTTCTAAAACCGGTAACAGTAGGCTTCGGCTGTCACTCTGGCAAATTTCAAAATCAATTTCTACCAAACTGAAATGCTTATTGTGTTCCATTTGCTCATATTACCTTATGAAGTTGCGAGAGTCATATATAACACTTTTTAAAAAACGTACAACATTTTGGGCGGCACTGCATGACCATGCTCTGTGGGCGAACTGTGCCAGATAAGGAAAACAGACATTTGATAGGAAAGAAGAAGCACGCAACACCAGAGCACCCACCATCCATCCACATTACATTTCCGATCCTTTCCTAATGAGAGAGATTTTTGCAGAGTCTGAACATATACAGACACAAGAGGTTCACAGCACCATACTAGAGACACGACTTAGACTTAGAGCAGTGTTACCACAACTGATGTACATCTGCATCCAGCACACTCCGAGAGATGCTGACCTGGAAGCTTCACTAATCTTTGTAAAGAAACTTTATTTATATCTGTCTGCCCTCATCCATATCCACTAGAAGTATTCTAAAACGTGAAGAATACAAACTCTAGGGTACAAAATGACCTCAGGCCTACGGATAGGGTTAACTATGAAATATAGAAGGGTATACCAGGCATGCCAACAGCCCAAGCATGGTGTTATAATTCATAGAATTACTGGAAAAACTTGATGAGGACCACTATCTTTAAAAAAAAAGCAAATTCTCAATCTAACCTGAGGACCACCACAATGGGGCTCTCACTGCCTGTCACCACCATCAAACCTTTCCAGATCATCAGAGCAGATGACACAATCATTGCAAAATTCAACACCTGATTATACAGCTGAAAAAAAAGTTATAATTCTGTACATATTGGTCATCCAGTGAAAAACAAAATGTTACATTTAAATGATGAAATATATCACTGTGTGTTCTGTATGATACAGGTGAAGAAAAGGAAATGGATTGGGCACACCCTGAGGAGACCCCCAACAAGCATTATCAGACAGGTTTTGACATAGAATCCCCAAGGAAAACGTAAGAAAGGAAGACCAAAGATGACATGGAGGCGAGCGGAACAAGCGGAAATTGAAACAGCAGGAAAAGGATGCACAGGACAGGCTGCGCTGGAGAAATGTTGTTGATGGCCTATGCTCCATTGGGAGCTAAAAAGGACACTTGAGAGAGAGAGAGAGAGAGAGAGAGAGAGA